AGATTTCACCAAGGACGCTGCTGCCCACGTTTGCAGGCACGCCCTCCCTTTCTGTGATATATAGAGTGCAGGCCCTAACTGTTCAAGCGTAACCCTTATCAAGCGGGACAAGATCTGGGGGAGGCACAGCAGAGGCCTGCAGATTGGCATCGGGTGCAGCTCGGCTTGGTGGCGGCACTAAATGATACTCAACGAAAAATGTACAGGCCACTTTGTTGAAGTCCTGTAAGCGCTTCTAGCTTAACGTGGCACGCTTGTACCATTTCGTCGCGGCTTCACTGCTTGTTAGCAGGATGTAACAAAAGGAATTAGCAAAATAGCCGAATGCCCACCCCTTCCCCTCCTCCCCTGCACCCCTCCTTAGCCAATCAGCGCCTGTGACATCGCTTCAAAACCTTCTAACTTAGGTCTTACTTGCTCATCAATGTTATTTGTCTTCAGATGATCTCCTCTCAAGTATTGACATCAATTGCTGCTCATGCAAAGCTTATTGCTGTGGGTACACAAATGGGCTACATTTGGATAATGGATCACTTCGGTCACGTCGATAATCAGAACGTTCCGGTAAAATTTTGCTCTTCGCTTTTCTGTTTTATAGGACTGAAGTAACTCATTGAGAAGTGTTCTTCAAAAGATCCCAAGTTGTGTTCCAGGTGATGCGACCACATCGAAGTGCAGTCACTAGGTTAGCCATAGATGAACCGGGAAATTATGTGATTAGTTGTGCCAACGATGGACGGGTAGCCATATCTGGAATTGGATGTAACAATCTCAACCACGTAAGTGAAGTTGGGCTTTTGCAGCCGCTCAGAACGTGTTCATACTTCGCGCGAACCAATCGCTCGAAGGGAATCGGACGATATTGACCAGGGTCAGACTTGTGCCGTTGCGCGGTGCACCACGGAAGTATGAACGCGCTCTGAGATAGCTGAGGAGGGTGGGAAGGGGACACAGCGAATGGTGCTCACCTTTCCCAGCTATCTGCGCGCTCCCACCGACGATTCTCCATGAAACAGGCACTCCTTCATGACAAGGCGCGCCAGGAGAAGCGCAGAAGAACAAAATGTGCAATGATAGGTATTGCTGCCTCCGCCCCCGCCCCCCCGACCCGCAACTAGCCTTGGCCAGATCTTTCTCATCCACAGTTTGGACCCTTGAAAAGGTGTAGGTGTAAACATTTGCCAAGGTTGTAACTCTGTCTGTGATGCCGCGTTCAATTGCTATAAGTCCATCATTCTCTCTGTCAACTTCCACGCCAATGTTCGCAATTGGTGAGAGGAACTTCGTCCTTTATGAGAAGAAATTTTTTCAAAACTACAAAGAACTGGTGAGTTGCTTCTATGAACTGAACTTCGTATTCTTGGCCCCAAAGGGCTGGCGCCGATTTGATCATTTCTGGGCCTGTGAAGAGCAGGCTCCTGTTTGAGGCCCATGTTGGGATATGTTCCCTAAAATGAAATGAGTATTTCAGACGATTTTTCGTGGAGGAGAACAAGACGGTTTCATTACTCAGTGCACCTGGCGACAATTCATCTTAATACGGTTTACTTGTGATAAAGGAACAAGGGTTTTTGATAGGTTCGTTTTAATTCCGCAGTTCGTTTCACATTAGCGCCTTATTGATCCCTTCTGGTGACTATGCACGTTTCAATTTCGGAACATTTTCCCTGAAAGAGATGGATGTTCCTTAGAGTTCCTATTGATCGGTTTCTGTCCCTTGGAGTGCGTCTATACTTCGCGCCAACACACCCATGCAGAGATCAGTACTATACTTTCCTGGTCGCTCAGAACGCAGGCAGACGGTCAAAGCGCTGGATAGAAACCTATATACTGTCTGTCAAAACGCTGACGCAAGGTGTGAGCGCATTCTTGGTAAGCATTTGGCGCACGCCACCTAGTCGTTTCTACTAGCTCTGATGTCTAGGTCCTGTGACTAGCCTCCCGCCCATCAGTCGTTTGCGCATTGCTCACCGATCCACTATATCTTCCTTTATCGTCTGTGAGACTGTGCTCCACCGATTTTCCGTAAACTGCTGCACGGAAAAGAGGATTTGTACCGCGAATGTTGTAGTTGTAGCGGTTCAAAAAGATTAGTGGTGAGCGCGGTTGCGCGATGTAGCGACCGATGGAGTCGCTTCTTATTCATGCCGGTTAAAAGAATCTCACTTATCTCGAACCGTTCCTTCGGAGCCAAGGTTGCCAACGTCCTAGAGGTGCCAAAGTAGCTAGAATGAGGTCTCATGTACCATTCGACAGAATTCGTTTGGAGCCTACAAAGCTTGGAATCATTTAAGGGAATTTTTCAAGGCGCTACTCAAGCTCATTAGCGCCCGTCGCTTTATTGCAGTAAAAAAAAAAACAAAGAATTAAAGGTAACAACTGTACAGAATTCCGAAGCAGTCGTTTGGATAACACAGGGCTGGTGGGCTCGTACGAATGTAGCCTTTTTCAGCTCTGAGAAAACCGGGATCTAATGCAGCAGTAGTAATGTTACTGCGAGCGGCTGTTTTGGGGATATTGTTGTCGCTTAGCAGTGGCGCGTGCTTAGCTTGTGCGGCTTCGCCGGGCGCGAGTCGGCGAATAGGCACCCAGATCCAGACCGCGCTCTGCGACTTTTCAACCAGCGAGAAAAAGTAGGCGCGACGCTACCTGCAGCCGCGGAACCTCCATTTACCTGGCCCATGACAAGGAGCCTTATCCACGGAGGTAGGACAATCTGCCTTCAAGCAGTCAGCGCATTGCGCCCGAATTTTGAGGATACCTTTAGAATTGCAGATAATATCATCGAATATCAATCTTAAAAAGGACCCCAAATGGTGCTCTTCTCGTTATTTTAGTCGCTTTCTTCGAATAACTGCTATTCTTCATCCCCTATAATGTTTATCAGTCGCTGTTGATTTCAGATTATCGTTTCGATTGATTTCTCTTATACCTCCTTCCCATGATGTGGACCGTATGCGCTCATCTCGATTTCCTCCATCACATTGTTGGCTCAGTGATAATCAGCTTGCGATTGCATGGGCTGATACAGTCACGATAGTCATGATAGTATCCACAGAGGGATCGGTAATTACATACTATTTTTCTATATTTGTATTTGGGATCGAAGTTCATGTCTGAAGAGGTAGTCGAAAAGAGTTTTTCAGCTTGTCAGACAAGCCGAAATTCACTTCACATGGCACATCGATATGTTCTGTTCGGGAGTTTCCTACCTAGCTGACTCTGCTGGCGACTGGAAAGAAATCGTTGTATTTGGATTAAAGAACGGACTCAGCTAACGATGACACCGTCATTCCAGATAATGCGGTATTGTTTTCGAGTATCAATTTGTATTTGTAAATCCCACGTTGTGGCGCTACTAACCGCGGGATGTCATAGCTGTAAGTTTTGATAGCCCCTGTCAAGCACCCTATGAACCCCTGACAGATTTCTCAAAACAACTGGGCAAGATTGGGAGGAAAAGGAGGAACGGCGCTCGAGTGATTCTAAGCCGATTCGCTAAGGTTGACTTTGCATGGTGTTTGACAGGAAGTTACAAGACTTGGAGAGGGCGAGTCAGGACTTTGAAAAACACGTCCTGAAGAACCTTACAGCTGAAGTCTATTAGCGCCCACATTCCTCCCTTCAGATAATGGAAAGCTCTTAGAAAGCCAACGTAAATGAGTTAGGCTGCGCGGTTGCACTGCTAAGCGATACTATTTTTAGTCGTTTACGTCTACCCCACCGGATATTCACTGAGTGATCCTTATTTCCCAATGTCACTTGCGTAATAGAAAGGGCATACAATAAGCTGGACGGGACCTTCATCCTTCACCATGAATACCTGTACGCCGAATATTCAATTCATGAACATTGTGAACGGCTTGGTAAGGCCCTAGTTGATTGGCCCCCCATATCAAAACAAAAATACAATATGTTATTTAGAGCAGTTCGGCGACGGGGGGGGGCATTCTGCACTTTTGCTACTTCCCATTGGACGTGTCCCCATTTAGTGAGTTGACAGGTTTTACCATGTGATTTGACAAGCTTGCTCTAGCTTCACAAGTGTTCCCGGTTCCCAGCAGAGTGAGACTTGTAAAACGGAACTAGTGAAGCAGCGATAGTTCGAAGTGTTTAGGCATAGGCAAAAGTCCGACCCGGGACGGTCGCGAACCCGCATTTCCCGCTAACCGGGCGGTTACGTTATCCATTACGCTACCGGGGCCACTCTTACCTTCTCAGCTCAATGGCTATTTGTGCCATTGCCTTCGAGCACTCACACGTTCAACGTGATGAGCCGGTTAGCCGATATCGGCAGTGAACCGCAAGGCTGAAGCTTTCTAGTTTGATAAGTACTGCTAAACGCCGCAGTGTCGCGGAATGTTCTTAGAGGAGGGGCTCGGCTTAACCGCGGGCCCATGCTTAGTTTGTCCAGTCTTTGGTCATTCTGATAGCAGCCAGCCGATCCTGCATGAACAGATAGATATTTGGCGGGAATTTAGTGACAGTACGGACGGCGGCGGAAGCCGCGCCATTTGCCAAAAACTAAATGCACAACACCTCTTTTTCTTGAAAGTATCGCATAATATAATTGTGTGGCATAGCCTT